CCCCAAAACCCCAAAACCCCAAAACCCCGAATTTAAGTGTTCTTTAATAAAATTGATTCCTTAATTTAAATATAAAATCGATATATAATAATTATATAGAGTGAATTTTGAATTTACTACGAGAATTGATAAGCAACTGATTCATAAAATTCAATTCAATCTTTATACATTTATTTCATCTTCTCCCATCTTATTAATAACTTGAAAGTTCATTTTTATCAAATTTTTAGGTGATTTCAAAACCTTGCTTGCTGTTCTTAGGATTTGCATGGCCGTTCAAAGGGGATGTTCCTTGGATGCCAAAGTTCGGTCCACTGCTTCCAGATGATCCTCCTGCTCTGGTATTAATCGAGGCTCTATAGGAAGGTTGATTTGATTACCTGTTACTAGCTTACTTTCCACTGTATCGTTAGTTTTGATTTGTCGGGGCGAATACTTAACTTTAAGGTGTCTACGAAAAATTCATGAATATTCCTTGGTACTAAGACTATTATTAGTTGTTATAATCGGTCAATCTATAATCAAGTTTAAGCTTATCAGTAGCGTTTAAGTTGTTCACTATTCTATTGCTTTTAATGCCAGCAGTCTAATTCTACTTAGGAGACATGTTTTAAGCATTCATTGTCTCATCTCTCTGAATGAATTATGTTGCGTTTTGATGACTTGTCCTCAGTTTATCATAGAGATGTGCTTACGTATTCCTAAGTGTTTTAGCTAAATTAGAAGTGTCTTCAAGATTTTTATTCAGGAGAGCAGCATATTTCTCGGAAAGTGCAAGTTAACCGCCCTTCTGCTAAGCTCTAATCATTTCTTATTAAATCATCTGATTTTATACTGCCTCTTCTCTATAGTTATATGTGTTTGAATCCTCGCGTTTCTATTTTGGAGTGTGCTACTGATAGTTCTTCATTTGATATTTTTGATTTTCGAGCATTATGATGTTGGGAGCCTTTTAAATGCCTGGATTTATAATTCCAGTGTTATTTGAGCTGCTATAGCTTCTTGGCTGCTTCCTACTAGAGGGAGTGATACTCGAGTTTTGATTATTCATCTATGGTCTAAACTAAACTTGATCTGGATTTAGCTTTAATTGCTAAGCTTAAGATGGATGAGTTATTTATCTTTATCTTGCTTATCCTTATGAATCGCCTCGCTAATGGCCCTAACCTGTTCCTATTCTTTATGGAGTTTAAGGGGATCCTTCAGTATATTACATAGCTTCATTAGCTTAAATTAGTTTTTGGTAGTACTTAGCTTGATTTGCAAGAGCATTATTTTGCATCATAATATTTTATGTAGTTGAAGGAAGCTTCTAAGTATGACTCAAACCTTAAATAGGTTGATTTTTGGGAGTTTAACTATTGCCCTTTTACTATTATTTTACATTATTAATGCCACTATGACTTCTTCTTTCTCCAGTTCCATTAATAAGCATTTGATGCTAACCTACTTCGATCTTTTAAGTCTTATATCCCGGTTAGATTCGACTATTCACACTTCCAGTTTAAGGTCTTTTCTTATTGTTAGGTGACTTAGAACCAGTATAGCCTAATCTTTCAACACCTCCATCACTATACATTAGTTCCTCTTTTTAAAGCTCAGATTTTAGTACGTCCAAGGTATTTAGTTTATTTCTATAGGAGTCCTTTGTTTTAGCTAGTTGACTTGAACTCTCTGGAGGCATTACCTTTTGTTTTATTTCAGCACTATCTCCTCTATTTAAGTTTTATTTAGATGTTTGAGGTCTTCTGGTTGAATTTTTCAATTCTTGTTGCTCTCTTAATTATTATTGTGCTGGAGTTAAATTGAAGTTGTAAATAATGTTGGTAATATTAGTGACTGGTGGAGCAGGAAGAGAAGATGAAACAAGCTGATTATTCATTGTTTGCTCATTCTAAAAGCTATTTGTTCTTTTATGACTTTACTGCTCTTTAAGAACTTAAATATTATCTGCTGTTCTTTATTAGTTCTTTGTCCAGGGATTTATCAATGGCTACTTTAAATCAACAGATCTTAATTTTTGGTGATTAATTCCTGCTTTTGGCTGCACACTGTGATACTTTTATTCCTTTTGAGATTGAATGCTGCTTCTTATTGTCTTTGATTGCTATTAATGTTGCTATTCTTCGATTATATCAGTGTTTTATGAAGGCTATTGGCTTAATCTTAGTTCTGATTAGTCAGTATTTATCTATTATTACTATTCTTGATTTATTTATCTTTATAGAGTAGCTGAAATAACTTTGAAAGCTACATTATAATCGATCTAATTATTCCTGACAAACTTTGGAATGACATCACGTATATCATCTATTTTGGAGAGTTCAATCAAGAGTGGTATCATCTCATATAGTTCTCGATCCTTCATGTCATCATACCAAGATAAAATTGGTAAGGCACATTCAGGTTGAAACATATAGGAGGTTGGTGAATTATCAATGATTATGGTATCTTTCAGATTCCTGCCGCATAAAGAGAGATCTTTTACAAACACCCCATTAACAAATGTACAATGCTCACGAAAGAGTCTATAACTGCACCAATTTCCTGTATCCATCTTTGCCATTAAAGGTTCTGCATACTATTTCAAAGTTTTAGAAGGAGTATTGAATTACCTTAGACAAACTAGCTGTGTAGATCACTAACTCATAGTGTTTACTTAGTTGCTGTAAAAAGTATTCAGCCCCTGGTCGTTTCAATACAAATATGTTGCACAGTCTTCCTTCAATGTCAACAGGAATAGTATAGTCTGGCTTCTTAACTTGCTTGAACTAACTGTGAACCAGTGTTTCATCCAAATCAAGCATAAGTGTCTTTTTACCTTTACAGATTTCCATCTGTGGGCCAAGAAAACCCTATTGTCTTCCAAATTTAGGTTGTTAACTATAGTTAATCAAAATTATACTTCATTGATAATTACAAAAAATCTTGCTTTTTTATAAATTGCTGATTGAACGGTGAGTTTTACTAGGAGTAAGCAGTATGAGGATATTACTGTTTATTGACTTGATTACCTTTTATCATTGGAGGCTAGTAATTCATGTTAACATTGATCTAAGGGCGTGTGGGGTCTGTACCTTGAGGTACTTATGTCACAAACTGTCTCAGCTTAGCTTCAATATCTGAATATTTTTTGATAAAAATAACTTGAAAATTTATTACCTTCATCTTTGTTATCCGATTAAAGATCTTTTGATCATCTAACTGATGCTGATGCTGCAGCACGATTTTAATGTCCGTTGACATTTACCCCTGAATGAATATCAGCATTTATCTGTTAAGTTGCTGAGAAATAAGGCGCTCTGTTATTTGAAATGAAATTCGGTTGTGTTTGATTGAAATTCGTAATTTACTAGGTCTGAATGCTGTTTGTATAATGACTAGGGGTAACTCGATTCCTAAAAAAGCAGAATTTAAGAGTGTACAAAAAGGGTAAATTTACAATGACATTTTTTTAATTTGATATTTTATAGCGATTAAAATTTTACCCTATTATTATTAAAAAAATTAATGAATATAGTATCATGGGGTTTTGGGGTTTTGGGGTTTTGGGG